ACACACTGTGATGCTGGTTCTCTATGCTGTGTGAACTGCTGTGATGCTGGTTCTCTATGCTGTGTGAAACACTGTGATGCTGGTTCTCTATGCTGTGTGAACTGCTGTGATGCTGGTTCTCTATGCTGTGTGAACTGCTGTGATGCTGGTTCTCTATGCTGTGTGAACTGCTGTGATGCTGGTTCTCTATGCTGTGTGAACTGCTGTAATGCTGGTTCTCTATGCTGTGTGAAATACTGTGATGGTTCTCTATGCTGTGTGAACTGCTATGATATCAGTTTTCTGACACCATGTGAACTGCTATGACATCAGTTCTCTGGAAATGATTGAATAGTAGCGAATCTCAGAACATCAATACATTGATATTCCCCACAAGAGCACTACAATACTAGTTATCAGTTTTGGTGAATCCAGCACCAGGGCTAGACTTCTTCAGCATGTGTGGTTATAGTACCATATTCATATACTCTGCTGTCTCTAAACACGATAAGCATGAGAAACACAGAGCCAGAGAAAACAAAACAAACAAGCAAATTCTCACATTCTTTCACTAGATTTATTTTAATTTATTTTCAAGTATATGTTGTCAGGGGAAGTATGTATACATATATGCAGTGCCCAGAGAGGCTGGATTCCCAGGTGGTAGTGAGCTGTCCAACAGGGCTGGGAGCCAAACTCAGGTCCTTAGCAAGAGCAGTGTACATTCTTAACTACTGAGCCATCTCCCCAGTCCCTCAGCTATTTTATTTTAAAACATTATTATAAGTATACCCCAGTCTACAAAAAATATTGATGAGTAAAGTCACCCACAGAACGGACCTTGTGTGATGGACACACCTAAATAAAATTATTCTGTTAATTCCAGGGATCAAATGTATGAGTCCTATTTAAACTAAATCTTCAAATTTAAAAATGCAAAAGGCAGAGGAATAGTAAAGTCTTGTCTCTGTGCTGAATGAGACAAATGTCAAAACGGAAAGTGTGCTCTGTGTGCTACAGCACTGGCTGTGTTATTTAGTTATAACTCACCAACAAAATAGATTTCTTTAATAACAACAACAAAAAAAAATTGTCTGTGCTTTAAAGCATAAATCCCCTGCCTTTCTCATGTTTGGCTTCAGAACTCATGGAACACAGATCAGTAATGACTCTTTGGTCAAGTTTTCTTTTTTTAAAGATCTGTACTGGAGAGACCAATGGGTCTTCAATAGTTTGCTCAGCCATCGCCCCACACTCTCTCTGTACTCACCAACTCTGCAAAGAATTTCTGCCACTAAAAATCTTCCAAGAGACAAGGAAGCTGGGAAGAAAGAGAGAAGAGCTAAGAAGGCAGAACGGAAAGAGGCAAAGTGGATTTCAGGAAGCGTCACGGAACTGCAGCTATTGCTGGAGCCTCCAAGGCTGCAGTGACCAAGCCTGCACACACAGCCTTTAAACAGATTCTCTGGCTGACCTCCCAGGTGGGAGATCCTCTCACAGTCTCTTGCTCAGCTCCACTTCAAAGTCTGCCTCCGTGCCTTCACACACACTGCCTTCACACACACGGTGAGCTCCACTTTAAATGTCTAGTAAAGTCAAACAGAAAATAAGACTTTTAAGATCCTGCTCACTGAATCCTGAATTTCTATCCTTTACCTTAGAATGTAACTGCTGGAAGCTTTCCACACATGACAGTAGGAGACCTGGGCAGAGGTAAGAGCTAAGAGGATTAGATGAGATGGCATAAATAAAAAATTCTCCTGAGCCTGGACCTACAAGGTGAGGAAGCCAGAACTACCTCACTTCCTGCTTGCATCACCCGCTGACTCCTACTCATTCTTTCAACCTCTAACTTAAAGATTGCTTCTGTAAAGTCTGTATTAATTCTGCATCATTTTCATTTTTTCATTGTGTATGAATGTAATTGTATGGGGCTATGTGCATGTGAGCACAGTTGTAGCAACCCCAAAGATTCCCTGAAGCTGAAATTACAGGTGGTTGTGAGCTGTCAGATGTGGATGCTGCTAACTGAAACCAGCCTCAGCAAGAGCAGAGTATGTTCTTAACCCCTGAGCTGCCCCTCCAGTATCTTTTCTATGCATGCAATCAATGACTTGCTCTCCCCCATTTCTCTGGCACTTTAGTGAGCCCTCTATTGCTTTGTAACTGCCTGTTAATATGGCTTTCTGCTTCATTCGAGAATAAACACCTCCAGGGTGGGGTTTATCTTAACTAATTACTCCTAACCCCAAATCTGACAGAACTGGCCATGAAAACTTAATCATTTACTGAAAAGATGAAGGAATGATTTCACTGAAACACACTAAGGTCTCTACATGACCTTGCAAATATTTTGACAATGCATTAATTTTACTTTTAAAAGAACAACTTTGAATTAAATTGCTAGCAAACCAACAGTAGAAGTTTTAGTTTGCTTGTAACATTTCTGATCATCACTCATTTATGTGTTACTATTATGTTCCAAGAATATAAATTTGTAAATTTGAACACAATTAACAAAAATCCCTGTCCCAAAGGGCCTTATATTTCCCCAGGGTAAATCTGTGGAGAAAGGATATTATGGAGAATCTGTCTAGAAATGTCACAAAACAGATTTTGTTACTCAACATTTACTAAATTATCACATGACAAAAATACAAAACAAAACAAAGAAAGAAACAAAAAAAACAACAACAAAAAACAAAAACAAAAACAAAAAAAAAAAAAAAAACCCCTGTGGACCATATATAAAGATCACCTGTTTCTAAAAAAAAAAAAAAAAAAAAAAAAACATGAAATAAGCCCAGATTTAGCATAATAGACACACAAAATTGATTCAGTGTCTCCCAAGATAAACAACAACGTCAACAAAGCACTCACATTAAGGATCTATTTCCTTGCATCTAACAAATAACTATGAGTTCTCTTGGAAGGCTAGTACCTGGGAGTCCCGCTTAACCACTACTTTGAACATGAAGTGGTTTTTCTGAGTCTTATGGATCCTTGTCAAAGACGGTGTACGACCTCACACCTGTCATCTTTCTCAAAGTGCCACAATTCCTGCTTAGCTGTTCTCACAGTGTTATCTCCCCTGGCTTGAGTACATCCTCCATGTCCCTTCTGTATTCACTACCTTGGCTAGATGGTTCCTTTCCTCTTCACCACTGTTCAAATCCCCCTTGCCTGTCAATGGTATTTCCATTAGTAAGCCTCTGCTCCTAAAGCAGTGGTTCTCAATCTGGGGGTTGAAACCCCTTTGGAGGGGGGCATTACATATCACACATTTACATTACAATTCATAACTAGCAAAATTACAGTTATGAAGTAGCAATGAGATAATTTTTATGGCTGGGGGTCACCACAAATGAGGAGCTGTATTATCAAAGGGTTGCAGCATTAGGAAGGCTAAGAACCACTGTTCTAAGGGGAGGACAGACAGTTTTACCTGCCTTTAGTCCCATTTGCAAAGCCGACTAGAGACTACTAGTCTGTATCCTACATCTGAAAGACTCGAGGAGGCCTCGGGACTCTCAGGCAAGAATTGACACAACGCTTCAATTTTCATCTGACACATCTGCAAAACATCGGTCTTGAAATATCAGTCTGGGACTGATAACTAAAATGTTATTTCTATGCCAGGGAAAAAAGAGGGTGAGTGCATAAGGGAAGCTATGCATCCCAAGCAGATGCTTCTGGGGATGCTGAAAACAGCCCATGGCAGGTTATTTATTGAAGGGTCCCACAGGCACAGGCCATTTCTACACAGAGACTCAATGTCCACTGCCTCGCCTGTTTGGTGATCATTTGGGCCTTCGTTTACCAAATCCACATTTTACAGAGAGCCCTGTGCAGTGTCAGTAATTAACAGTAAAAAGAAGGCAGTGATTCGGGATGCAAGCACAGTGAGCCACGGTTTAGGGTCATGGCTCCTACAGGCAGAGTTGAATGAATGAGTTTGCCTCTCCTTAGAACCGATCTGGAAGGCTGAAAAGCAAAGCAGTGACATCAAATAGCCATGAGTGGTTGGCTCAAGGAAGCTGCAGGCATCCATAGAGTCTGCCCATGAGGAAGCAATACTTGGACAGCACTCTAACGGAAACTGAATTATGACAGGAAATATTTTAAAAAGTATCATCAGTGTGTCTCGGAAAATTGCCAGTGAGATTTAAATCACAAATCTCCATTTTCTCTTAAAAGTGCTTTCTAATAACACTGGGGACATCCCAAACAGCTTTCTCTGCCAGGAGCTCATCAATAGTACCTCACCAGCTCAGCAAGAAGGGTTGGGGGCGGGGGGAGGAAGATGCCCAGAGAACATAAATCTCTTCATTTCTTGAGTAAATCATAAGCATTTATCTTTCTGGGCATTTATCCACAGGAGTTGCTCCTACATGAATTTAGGAAATGAATATGACCTTTAATAGATAATTTGGTTCCCAAATGGAAAAGCCAGAAAAAAGCCAAAACAAGAATGGTGAATGTTGGCCCAAAGTAAAAGTTTTAACAGGAGCAGGGAGGTGGAAGGGACCTCATCTAGAAAAGAGAAAAGGTTCAAAGTCAACCAAAAAGTACAAAAAAATGAAAAATAGTATTCCATCTATTGGAAAGGCTGAAGAGATGAAACTGGAACGTTGCAGAAATTTCGGAGTTCAAAACTCCTTCACTCTACAAATGACCATATTTTGCCTAAAGCCTGCAGGGCTGAACATTCTCAAAAAGGGTTGGCAGTGGGGGGAACAACTTCAGGGCATGGCAGGGAGGTGGAAACCCTTCTAAACTCAAGGAGCAGCCTCGGGTTACACCCGATCAGGGAAAGCTGGGGTTTCTGGAATTGCTGGAAGCTCTCCAGCGGTCACTGACCCGTAGGCGACCGCAGATTCCACGTGGGAATCCGAGAGAGGGGAGCACATCCTCCACAGCCACCAGAGCGCTCATGACACCGAGCCCCTGAAGAGCCACAAAGTAGGTGAGTGCAGGGGGGAGGGGGGTTGTCCGTGGGGCTCGCGGGCGCGGCCACTCACCGATGCCGAGCCCCACGACCAGGCGGCCGGCCAGCAGCGTCTCCTTGTTGGCGGCGGCGGCCAGCATGGCAGAGCCCGCGGTGCACAGGGCGCTGGCGAGCAGGATGGCGCTGCGCCGGCCAAGAGCTCCGTTCAGGGCCCCTCCGGCCAGCGCCGCGACGGCGGCCGCGCCCACCGTGCCCGACACCAGCAGCTCCTGCCACATCGCATCCAGGCGCATCTGGCGCCGCAGCGGCAGCATGGCCCCCGACACCACGCCGGTGTCATAGCCGAACAGGAAGCCGCCAAGCGCCGAGAAGGCGGCGGCCGCGTACACGAAGGCGGGGGTCTCTTCGCGCTGGAACTGCCGCCGTGCGGCACGCTCCAGCTCCGAACCCTGCAGGCTGGTGGCCGACTCGGCGGCGGCCAGCAGACTGCGCTCCCCGCCCGGTGCCCCCGGCTCCGGTTGCCGGCGGCGCCGCTCGCCCATCAGGCTGCTCAGGCTCCGCAGCGTGTACTCCACGTCCTCACTCGCCTTGCGGGACATGGAGGGGGACGGGCGGGTGCCGCCGGGGCGGCTGCGGGGAAGTTCCGTGGGGGCACTGCGCACTTGCTCGCGGCCAGCTGCTGAGCCGCTCGCTGCGCCTCCAGCCACCAAAGCCACCCGCCTTTGCAGCCTCCGCTAGGCTGGAGCTGAGAAGCGGTCGGGGGCGGGGTCGTGCGTCACTTGGCCGCTTAGAGGGGAGGGGCCGAAGGAAAACCGCCTTCTTTCGTGGGCGGGGCGAGGAGGAGCTCCTCCTGTGGGCGGGGCCGCCTCCTTCTGTGGGCGGGGCCACGAGCCAGGCCCCAAGCCGACTTGATCCTATGGAGGCGTGGTACCTGAGCATCTGGGCTGCAGCTAAATTGTCCTGAGGGAAGAGGCCTACAGCAGACTGTGCACCAGGTAAAAGTCTCTAAGCTGTTCTTCCTGCCTTCCAGCAATCTGAGGTGGCCTAGGCTCGGACTACCTGACATCCACCTAGTTCTAGCCTGTTCTATCCTACTGGTCTCCTGCGATTAGTTTAATTTGGAGCATTCAGTTCAGGACCCTGTTCTCTGGTGTCTCTGTTTTCCTTTTTCCCTGCTAGTCCTTCCTGACATTCTGCCCTTCTAAAAAGCATGCTACACCGTGACTCTTCCGAGTGAGTCCTTGACTTCTTCCTGTGGATCCCCAAAGAGAAAGGCAACTATAGGTTGCTCTTATACAACCAGCAAATTCCAAGTGGAGCAAGGAAACCTGAGAATCTGATTTGTGGTGTGATAGTCAGTTGCCACCTTCCTTGCCCAACATGCCAGCCCAAAAGGATAACTTCTCTCCGACAATTTCCGCTGCTGCCCTTGGTTTAGAGAAGTTATTTGAAATGTCCCATTTGCCTGAATCAAAGGTAATTTCAAATTGTTTGAAGATGCTAATTGCTACTTGCCAGTTGTTGGTTTGGAAACCCCGCCTCCCCTTGATTTAAATATTCTGTAATTTATTTTATGTTGCTGCACTTCAGGAGATTAAAAACTAATATATTTCTTTCTGATGCAGTCTCATTCTTCAGGCATAGGACACCAGACTTAAATGAAAAATGAATTTAAGATTCCTGATTTCCATTAACCATTGCCGCTCTCACTTAGTTCCCTTATCTAAACAAGTTTCTTAGCATGAGGGGTTTTGTCAACCCTATTACACTATGAAGTTATTAGAAATTTCCAAAGTCCGATGCACTTTGATTACCGGACATCATAGCTCCATAATATCGCACTTTCCAGCAACGAAAAAAAAAAAGGTGGGCTAAGAGGAATAGCTTTAAATTTATCTAGTAGCTTTAAAGCAAGGCTTAACCATCTTCCCAGGGAGAGATTAAATACAACCTTAGACTCTGGAACAATGAAATCCCCATCTACAGAAGATCCAGGTTAAGTGTGCCTTTTTTCTGAGATGACTGCAGCAAATCTGCGCCCCCTGGTGGTCAGCCTATTCATGTACCCTCTGCAGAGAAGAGCTCCCCAGATGAGGTCAGCTAACAGTTTCTTCTTGTTGAGGTGAACATAGCTGAATTTCAAATCCAGTTGGCGTGAACACCGTGACTCCTCACATAACAGCTCCAAATTCAATGTTGGGGGTTCCAGAACACTAAACTAACTACTTAAAATGATCTAAATATGGTAACTTATAATCCCGAGGTTAGGTTACCTCAAAAGGAAATGTGACATCAGAAACACATCAGAAACACATCAGGGCTCTTCTGGGCTTTTGGGAGGAACCAAGTTCTATTAGGCATCACAACTTTCAACTAAAACAGAGTTCCCTGTAGTCTGCCCCAGCTCAACTTCATGAAGAAATAGAAAGTTCGGGGACTGAGACAAGGCAGAATCCGTGCCCACCAGTGTTTCACAGAACGTTTAGCAATCACTAGGTTAGTTTATGGACCATTTTCACCTGCTTTCAAATGCTCAGCATGTGTGATCATTGACTAGATTATGAAAAATCACTTTTAAATTACAATTAATTGATAATCGAGATAAAGTACAGACACCATTATTGATTTATTAAGTTAGTCCTAAATCCCAAAGTTTAGAGACATTTATTAAAACGTGGGACCCACCATAGAAAAAGAAAATAAGAATTTTTGGATATACTGCTACATATTCTGAACACTCGGAAGAGACATTGGTTATTAACCCAGTGAAAATGTATAGTTGGACTAAAGATCCAATTAGAGAATGCTTGTCCCCAAATTCAATTCTAAATTCCACACACAAAAAATGATGGGGGCATTGATCTGGAAAAAGGGATAAGGAGTTGGAAGCTCAATATATTGTGCTTACTAAATGTTTATTTTTAGTCACATAAACTATCTGTGCTTATTTTTAAAAAATGTAGCAATAAGATAATTCACCCTAAAAAAATATCTTTCCAAGATGGGACTGTTTAAATGACAATAGGTGCCATAGGCTCATATGTCTGAATACTCTGTCCTCAGTTGGTAGAACTCTTTGGGAAGTGTAACTTTGTTGGATGAGGTATATCACTGGGAGTGAACTTTGAGGTTTCAAAAGCTGATGCCATTTGAAATTCCATTTGGCTTCTCTCTCTCTCTGACTCTTGACTGTGGGCCAGATGTAGGCTTCCAGCTACTGGTCCAACCTGCCTGCCTGCCTGCTGCCATGTATGATGGTCATGAACTAACCTTTTGGGACTGTGAGACTCAAAATGAATGCTTTGTTTTGTAAGTTGCTCTGTCCATGATGTTTGTTAAAGAAGGAGAAAAGTAACTGAGATGCAAGGCATCTTTCTCAGAGACATTTCCACTATGAAATACATATTTTAAGAATTTTTGTTCATAAGTGTGTATATGTATGTATACATATATATGCATGCATATGCACATAGTGGAACATAACTCATTGTGTTTGGTTTTGTTTACTGAGGGTTGTAACAGAAAAAAAGAACAAAGTCAAATGGGTTGAAATAGAGGATTTACTGGGTTTTATCTCTGAAAAGTGTCTAGTAAGTGCAGATGTAAAGGGCTCAAAACTCAGGGTTTCACTGTGGTAGTTGGAATGATAATGGTCCCAGAGGTTCATATTTTTCAATATTTGGTGCCCAGTTAGTGGAACTCTTTGGAGAAACTTAAGGGGTATGACCTAGTTGGAGAAGGTATGTCGCTGGAACTAGGTATTAAGTTTTCAAAAGATTATTTTCTACCACCATTACCCACCTCTGCATCCTATGCATGGATGAAGATGTGAGCTCTTGGGTACTGTTCCAGCTAAATGTTTCCCTGCTGGCTGCCATGCTTTCCACCATGCTGGTCATAGACTCTCACCTTCTGAAACCCAAATAAATGTTTTCTTCTTTAAGGTGCCTTGGTCATAATGTTTCATTACATTCATAGAAGAGTAATCAATACATTTCCATTCTCCTCTGCTTCTTGTGACTACAACTGACTTCTCAAATTCCATATGGTACATCAAAGGATACAACAAGCTCAAAACCTGTTATCTTTTCCACTCACATCAGAGAGAATGAGGACAAAGTGGGCTTCTCTAAAGCCCTGGCCAAATTCTTACTGTGTCTAACTGAATATGGTCTTTGCGGAATGTGGTGATAAATTGTTTATGATCTAATAAAGCCACTGGAGATCAGTTTGCAAAGCCAGCCATACTAGTTAGCCATAGAAGACAGGCACACAACTTTAATCTCAGGACTCAGCATTAAGAGGTATCAGAATCTCTATTAGTTCAAGGCCACACTGACCACACTAAATTGATCCAGTCCTAAAAGAAACAGCTCACACAAAGGTGATCTCAGCACGTGGGCTCACATGCCTTTAATCCCGGCAGTAGGGAGGTGGAAACAGGAATGATAAGGCTGGGCAGAGAAAAGACTAAAAGGCAGGAGGAGACCAGAATTGAGAGCTTTTGCCTATGAGGATTGATGGGGGCAAAATTGCCATTTCAGCTGGAAAGAGGTAAGATCTACTGGCTTGGCTGTGTTGATTCTCTGTTATTGCGGTAAATAAGGATCAGGATAAACAAATAGGCCGAATAGATGTTTATTCAGGGAGAAATAACTTACAACCTAGACAGATGAACACCAGGAAATTCAACCCGATCCTCTCCTGTCCGAGTCACGCCAGAAAGAGAGCGCCTTCCTAGCCCCCTCCGACCTCCTTCCTCAGGTCACCTCCGCCCATAGCTCCACCCCCCAATGGGCGTGGTCAGTGCTACAGAAGGACTACCTCACTACAATTCCCCTTTTAGTCTAAAGAAAAGATTTAGGCTTAATACAAAACTATATACAAAACAGTGAATAACAAGTGTGCTCTAAGAAAAGGAAAATCGAGAACAAAATGACCTACATATCTAGTCCTAGGGTGAGGGCATAATGGAGTTTACAATAGAGTTGTCCTAAGCTGGAAAACGTAAGTCTAGTACCTAATATATCTAACTAGGAAGAGAGAATAATAGTTGTGATAGTTTAATCTTCAACCTCATCAAGACCTGAGAAGGAAAATAACAATACTAGAGTAGACAGGAAATGCGGATGGACAACTTCCAAAACGGTGCAGCAAGGACAGAAACAGCAAGCCACCTGAACAGTCACCCTAGGTCTCACAGCGACGTTGGTACACCCAGATTTGGCTAAGGCCAAGAGAACTTACAGACCACAACAACAGCAGGGAAATAGAATGGCTGTCTTACCCTGACTTGGCAAGGTCAAGCAGTCTTCTATATTTGTCTCCTGCAAGCACATAGGACTGCATGTCCAAATCAGTGGTCAAGGTGGGGGCAATTCTATGTCCAACAGGCCATTAGCTGAGGCGAGATTGAACTCCAGCAGGAGCAACAACAGTGTCCAACATATTTTCGGGAAAATGCACGGTGCTGTCAGGAGCAACAGTGTCTCATGTCAATGGAGTACTAATATTAAAACATTTAAATGCCATGTTCTGCATGTCTATGAAGGATTGAAGATTAAGCATCTATATCTGACTAATCTCATAGGTACAGGAAATGTGAGTGAAGATAATCTGTAATACTCGGGAACTTAGCTAAAAAGACTGATTAAAACTTTCCTGAGTAAAGCAGGAACAAATACTTAAACAATATAACTATTTACATATACCTACATGTAAATCCCTAAAATAGAGGTAGAG